TTTCAAATGAATTTTGCACGTTAACTTTTGTTTTGCATTCCCAACACTTGCAAAATTTTAAAATGTAAGAAAAGCACGTGTAAAGTCCGCTTGAAAATTTAAAAAAACCGGAATATAAATTAATTTAAAGAAAAAATTTTAAGTGTTAAATTATTTGGGAAAATTGACATAATAAGAGATGAAAGTGGAATGTTTTAGTAATTGTGCTGTTAAGTATCAAACGATTCATAATTTCGTTTTCATCAATAACATTTCCCGATGAATTATAGCGTAAGATGTTATAATTTTATTTGATAATAATGTGATCAGTTTTTAATTTTCAGCTTCGTTATAACATCTGATAGAAAAAGATAATTCCAAGCGTGTAAATATTTATTGTAAAATAGAAGATAAATAAATGCATCCATTGTAATAAAATTCAATTTTATTAAATATTTCAAACTAACAAAACCACTTCTGATTTAGGTTTTATTCTGTTTTTTTTTGTACTTTTGATTTTTTAAAAACGATTAAAAATTAGAAAGAATTCAGCTTACTTCTGTACTTCGTAAACGAGAATCGCAATAACTGTGATGCACTTAATGATTATGAAAGAGTAATGCATAAAATATTACTGTATTCGCTCAATGTCGTTGCAAATGTCTCAAATAATATAGTACTTATCTCAATTTCACCTCAAATACAGTATTCATTTTATGTCACTGCAAATTTTTTGAATATTACAGTACACGTTACAGTAAACTTCATAAATCTTAATATTTTAATGTGAATTTAACTAGATTTTGATGATTTTTAGTCTATTTACTTGTATAAGTTGTAGGAGTGTGATTATTGTAAAGATACATGATTCAGATTCCCTTGTTTCCATCATTGTTGCGAGCTAAAATTATAAAATATAAGATAAGGAACATTAGGGATATTTTAATATCATCAAACGATAGCTAACATTGAGCTAATAAATAATTGATATCAATCATAACTTACTTATGTCAGATTCAGTAATAAAATTAATTTCGTAATAGCTTCCAAATTAAAACGCTATGGGCATTTTCGATAACAGTTTATTTTGTTTTATTCAAAATAAAATCATAATTATACCTTTTATAATTTTGCTGAAAATATGTCATTGTCATTGCAAAGCTTTTATTCACCAATAAAACATCATTGAAAACTCGTCTAACAATGGAATGTAACTTCTTATTTTCGTTTCAAAACTTGTCAAAAATAAACAAGAAAATTATCAAATTTTTTTTATATTTAAATAAAAGTAAACAGAAAGTATGAGCTTATTTTTGCAATAAATTTTGCGAAATGAAATAATCAGAAAGGGCAGTGATTAATCAATTGTGATTTATAAAATATAGCATTTCATTGCAGTAATCCAACCATTTAATCCATCACACACTCTTTTCGAGTAGTTAAAAAAGATTGAATAATAGTTGAAGGATGAACTCTCAAGAACCATTTCTAAAGTGTTGTTGAAGAGCTGCCCTCTCTTAGCCTTCGAGGTTTTGCAATTTATCTTCAGATATACAAGATCTTAAAGCTACATATCGATTTAATTTATTTGTTAATATTTAGGAAAGAATTTAAAGTACACATTATGGTAAGCAATCAAAATGGAACCAATGAAAGTTTAACTTTTGCAAGATAAAATTAAGGTGATATTGCCATTAGAATTAAGTAAGTAATAACATTCTACTATTTTTACGTACTATTCTCATACTTTTAATTGGGCTACATATATCAGTTCAGTGTGTTGACGCTTAACTAACGAATTACTACCGAAAATCCGAATCATTTACTCTTAATGAGACAACAAGAAAAGTAGGTGTTCATTTTCGGTAATTCTCTTTTCGGCAGAAATTATTCGTATTATAATAATATTCCGGATTTCTTTATTGCATGTAAATTTGTATTTCGGAGTTAATATTTTTATATGCATACCACAATACATCACTGATAACATACTGTATGCTATCAATCGACAAGTTAACAAAGGCAATGTTAGGTCAAGAAAACACGTAATAGAATAAAATATGGAATTTTGGTAACAATATCCTGATTTTTCTGCAGAACTGCATTCATGAGTAAAGTAAGCATAAATCGAGAAACAAAACCAGTATAAATCTGCAAGTTACATATATTATATATGGAAGGAAAGTGCATGATTTCAAAATTAATTTACAAGGAAAAGTTTAGCTCTTAATATAATCAGATCAGCAAATAATATCCAGTTCCTCTAAAACTAAATATTACTAATATTCCCAAACTGAATTTAATAACTTCAAAAGAAACCATTAATTCTCTGAAATTTGAATCTGAGAATGCAATTCCACTCTCCTACAGTATTTGAATCATTCCATAATTCTTGTTTGCAAAAGGCTAGCTCATATTTCTGATTACAATTATCTAAACAAAATAATAAATGCCTTATTTCCTAAAAAAGATCATCAATTGCAGCATTCATTGCAATTATTTCCAGACAAAGAAAGAAAAAACATTTGAGTATTTACAAAACAAAAGAAAGAGTAGGAATGAAACATTTGTGAAGATATGTCACCCGAAATGAAATAAAAAAGCGTTGCACGTAACCAACAAATTCACTGAATCATCATTGTAATAGATATACAGCTTGATAAATGAGATAATATCGAGCTGTTTATCCATAATGACAAGTGATAATTTGCCTATAATGATAATTTGCTAATAGTGAAACTCCAAATTTCCTAATCTGCTAACGCTAAGGTAAAAATAAACTTATTGATTTAAAATCTTTCTTAGGAAATTTCTTTTAATTTTCAATTTCATTGGGGAAATTGTTAATTATTTTATGCACTACAAATTCGAATATGGTTCTTCGTTATTTTTTGAAATCTTTTAAGCTAATTACTTTTAAAATGCGCAATTACGATAAAAATAAAACACCATTTCCAGTTTCATCTCCTCCTTCTTAAACAAAAGTGTCAAAAAATGTGGAAAAGGTAAGAAGTTTTACAAAATAATTACTATGCGTAAACAAACCTGAAAAGAACCCAAACTTGGGCGACAATTCACGCACGAAAATTAAAGGGTTAACAACAGAAGAGAAAAAAAGGGTTTTGTAAGAAGAGGTGAACGGAAAACAACAGGAACGAATATTTTCGATGAGACAGAATAACAGTAAAATTGAGAGTGAAGAATTCGAAATCGTAAGCAGGAAGGGATCTAGCAGCTTGAAAGAAACAGGAGTAAGGAGAAAAAGTGAGGAAAAAGAAATAAATTATCCAATTCCATTACAAAAATCAACAGAAACAGAAAAATTTGCTAGCTTAGACAAGTAAAAATCAAATTATTCACTATGAATTTCTATCAAACTTCAATCTTAATCCCACAGAGGAGTTTCTGCTCTCTTCTTAAGAGTAATACAAAATAACTGCATATGTCAGCTAGGCAAATTTTGAAGATAGTAAAATTTTAAACGCCAAAATAAAAAAGATACAATGACAAGTCGTGTGAGAAAACACTTTTAATACGAAAAAAAATAAAGATGTATATTTCCAACGCAAAATATACCCATTTAATTTTATGATAAATGGCAAATAAAAAATCATCAACTTCTATAGGATTCGTTAAAAGATGAATGATTTTTTTGGTATAATTTTCAAGCAAATCATGAAATAAAAAAGAAAAATAAAAGTGCCTCCAATGTTCGAGTCTTTTTCTTAGAAGACGAATGGAATTGTCGATAATACCAATAATTGAAACACCAAATAGGTACTACACCATTTTTTGCTTATCAAGCATTTTGGACGAAAGTTATTTATAGTGACGATGCATATATCATAACTGCTAATCAAATCATAATCTTAAAACCGAAAGGGAATTATTACTATTCAAAAAAAAAGATCACGAACAAAAGTCATAAGACGAAAACAAAAAAAGACACAAAAAGAAAACAAAGAAAGGAAAAATTAAAAAAAAGATCATTTCTAATTATAAACAGGAAAAAGGGAAAAAATGCCTGAGTAAAATATTTATAACGATTATCAAACAAAAAAAAGTGATGGTTAATTGGGAGAGGCAAGAAAGAAAACATGTCGAGAAATGTTAGAAAAACCGGTATCGCGAAACAAAGAAAAACAATATGAATCATTGCAGACCAAAAGGTGAAATGTATGACTTGTTACTAATAACAAAGAGAGATAAAAACATTTATATGTACATATATGTTCATTTTTTCAGCAAACGAGTAAAAAACAAATAACATTTATGCAAACTAAAAAATCAGTGTCGTACTGAAACAGACGCACCTCGGTTTGTAGTTTTTAACCATCAATCTAAAACAGTCTCAACTGAATTTCAAGCTAGTTTTGATGTAAAATAAACTGACCTAAGAAGGACTTTTTGAGAAATTATATTTGACTTATATTTGAGAAATTTGGACATTACTAATGCATGAAGAAAACTTAGGCCTAGAATTTTGAAATTGGATTTTAATTCGAGAATTAACTGATTTAACTTAAAACAGTTTTCATATTATTGGTACAGATGAATAACGCTATAAGCAACAGTAATACTATGATGAGCAAACTACATGGTCAGTAGTTTCCAAGAATTTTTGTTAGAAAAATTTAACTTTCTTAAAGACCAAATATATTTCTTTACAAATCCAATTTAAATTCCTCATGTTCCTCATAGTAATTTTGCGATAAAAACCCTAAACAAATAAATATATAACAATAAACAATGGCAGATAAAATCAACTTCTCTCTTAAATTATTAAATTTTCCGCAAAACTAAGCAATTTCAAAACTCTAGATAAAGTTCAATTTCAAGAGAAAAAAACCTCCTACTTTCCTCAAAAAATAAAGCGTAATGCGCAACTAGATTGATATTAATTGTTAGCAATAAAATTTCTATTGATAATATGTTGATTGTGCTCTTGCAGTTGATGAAAATAAAACACTCCAACCGTAAATAAAACAGCAGCAAGTACCCACCACTGTTTGAAAATGAATTTATTTTGTCGGTGCCATAGGATCCGCTGGAGCTTCATCGCTATGCAAAGAATCAGTTGTAGAATCTTTATTCGTGGAAGGTTCCAGCAGTGGTGTCTCCTCAACAACTGCTAATGATGATGGCAATTTTCGGTTGGCATCTTTATCCTGTACCATAAAATTTTCTTCCATGTGTCGGATGATCAAACGTAATGCCTCCACATGGTCCTCCATTTCCTGAAATATAACTGAAAATGGTTAACTCAAAGACAGAGGTACAAAAAATACTGCATACTTTTAAAAAAACGCGATGAAAAAAACTGAATTCTAAAACAAAAATTACGTTCAAAACTCCATCCAATGAATCCATATGTTTCGGGCTAATTACTGTAAATGGAAACGCAAGCGCCCAACAGGCACTGACAAGTGACGAAGCACGAGCTTCTAGAAGACGTACGTCTACCTGAAAGTAATATTAATTATATGCTTTCACAAAATAAACTCTTATGGCTATTTATCACGAATAAAGTTTAATGACGGATTAGTCATTTATGACAAATTTAATAACGATTACTCTTGGTAAAAATAAAATGAAACTTTGTTCCATTTCATTACTTTGTCGCTCTAAACATTCTTTAATTCGAAAAAAATCGAATCAATAAAAACTGACTGTACCTGATTTGCAGCCACGGTTCGTATCAGATCATCGAAACGAGGCATAATTCGTGCAGTGGCTGTAATCACCTGCTCATTAAGTTTTGGTGCAATTGAATTAAGCTGAATAATGGAAAGTTTTTCAGTCAAAGCATGGCACAGTTTCAGAACTACAACACAATGCTGCAGCATTCCGGAGACATCATAAATCCATTGGTTGCTATCCAAAACTTGGGCTGAAACGAGCAAATGATGTTTGAGTTAAAACGGGTTTGGAAAAAACATTTTGAAGCACTGTTAAAATCGAACATACACAATACACTTATATTTGTGTTAATATCAGTAAATTCGATTAACAGGTAACAATGAAAGAAGTACAACATTTTACCAAGTTTGAAATATGTTATGCTTCCTCGAATTTTATACGAAAATATTAAATTTACAAATCATGTTTGCACAACTAGTCTATCATACGCTTGAAAACAAAGACAAGTAAATATATGAAGAATTTTTATCATATACATTTTCTTATAAATCTTACCCATAAGAGGTCCAAGCTGCACCACACTTTCTACATTTTCATTAATTTTTGTGAAACGCAACGATGTCATCACTGCACGCAAACGTTCCCTTGCCTGTACACGTCGTCGACACATGACAATAAGAATGAATGATGAAAAACAAAACACAGAAGCTAACACAAACAATGCCAAATAAACCACTACTTCCATCCTAAAATAAGAAAATTAAATAGGTTTAGAAAAAACATTTTCCTATCGATTAATTATACGCTTCTAAATTATTAGTACTACATGTAAGATACTAACTTCGCTAGTTATTTTTTGAAAATCGTGTCAACGTCGATGTCATTTATTAGCATAATGACAGCTTGAGAAAATAAAAGAAAAACAAATGCATAAATTTAAAGCGAGATAAAAAAGCTAGACGTTCGAGTTTTCTTTAAATGTTCATATAATGTTTTTACTCTATCAAAATGCGCATTATTATCTATTTATTTCATTCGGTATACTGCGCTACTAACTGCATCTCTTGGATAAGAGAATTAATTTCACTTATAGTAAACATGCATGAAACATTGAAACGATAATCAAAAATGCGCATATCTGCCAAATAACAGTTTTTTCTATTGATATTTATTATCACTTATTTCTGACATGCTGTAACTTTTAAAAGATGATAAAAATACTAGAGAAAATAATTTATATTAAAATTAAAATTAAATCCGGACAAGATTTTCCAATCTTACCGATTTCAAGTCGTTTTAAATCAAAATGATCTGTAAATATTTGAAAGGCTGTTCCTTATTGCTTTAGCAATCAGAAGGTTACTGAACGAGTAACTCCAAGTAGTTCAGTAATGTGTTATTCAAAATTTATCTGAAAAAACAAAACCAATTTTTTTAAGGTTAAAAGTATCGATGACTAAACGAGAATAGCATAAAAGATTAGCTCACACCTCAACGTGTAAATAAATGAGCTACGATATGATTTCGACAGGCTGTCAACAACTATGACACATGATAACCCTAATAAGAAACAACTTTACCTGTCAGAGACAGAGTTCGGAACAAGAAAAAAAAAGAACATAAATGTCACTGTTTCAAACGAGTTACCAATGATTAAACCTATCCATCTTCATAAGAATCAATGTATACCTGAACAAAATTTATTTAAAATTTTGAAAAATGATATTAAGAAATCCATAAATTAATTAAATGTGTAAAAACACGAGAATAATATCTGCTTCTCTGTTCGTACTTACGTACATATGTATGTGTGTATGTGCATGTGCATGTATGAATATATATTTGTAGGCATCATCTTATGCATGTATATCATGTTTTATACAGTGAAGTATAATCAGCACCCGATCATCAGTCACTGGTAGGGAGAAGATGACGGGGTAGGGTAAGTGTGAGCAACTCCAATCCTAACTGCTACGACAACGGCGACGAGAGCAACCATCGTTCTTCCTTACAACCCTCCCGAACAAATGTGCCATCCAACGACATCAAGGCTACATTTTTCACGATATGTAAAAAAACACATAATTTTTTATTTCTCAACAACAATTTCCCTCTGTTTTCTTCCCTCCTCACATTCCATTCCAAGGATATCATTTTCAACTGTTTCGACTCTTTCAACTATCCATCTGAATAGCAGCACTGGCTGGAATATTTGATGTGCAATACAGTTTTAACATTTCACACTTAAACTTATCCATTCGTTCACCCAAAGCATATTCAAACTTTTAGCTTTCACTTATCCACTGATTAGACTATTGATGGAAATGGAATGAGTGAACTTTGAAAAATAACTACAATTCAGATAGCGCACATTGAATTAAGGCAGATATAAATGAATCAAGTAATTTTTACTGGAAAAATAGATTAAAGAAACAATTAATTTCATAGCTAACAAGCTTGTAGTTGATTTTGTTGTTAGGGCAATTCAACTAGAAAGTCAGCTATCGTGAAAAGCAAACGATAAATCTGAAACTTATCTAAATGATGTAACAGTGACAGTCAAAAGACCAACAGTAAAGTTTGAATTCTGAGAACAATAAAAGCAGATAGAGACCATAAATATGCTATCAGGTTTCTTTATCAATATATGATTAGATTGGGCCTGAATTAAGGTATGACATTTTAAACAGGGAATAAATCCCGACTCCTATAAAAAACCCATTTGAAGACAATTCTATAATATACTGGTACACAAATTTTAAAGCCTAAATAGCTAATAGTGCTCTATTAAAAATAAACTAATAGCCTGCAAAAAGATGAGAAAGGATGAGTTAGCTATCCTTTCGCTTATCTTTTCAAAATGAATAGCCTAATATTATCTTTCTTTCGCATAGTTGCATTAACTACTACTTAATAACTCCTCATTTCTATCAAAATACGCATTATCTTACGTAATGCTGAAATATGCATTAGGTTTGTCTAATCACTTCAATTCATTTAAGGATATGTTTCTGTGTGAAAAGCAACTTACTCCTACGCACAAAGGATCATTCACTGAGTTTGGAAGTGATGCCTAAATGGAACGGGATAGGTCTACTCTAGGATCTTGTTAGGAAGAACTGAACAAATAAGATTACGTCATAAGCTTAAAGTACAATATTATAAGAAATAATTGGTTAAAGACCTGCAGTTATTTTAAGTAAAAAGTAATTTAAAAATGTAAAGAAAAGAAAATCAATCTAAATTAAGCTGAAAAAAGTGAAAAGCCTGAAGGAGTTAAGGCGAGTAGCCTATAGCGATTGATTTTAATCACTGCTAATATTTTTTAAAGTAATAAATCATTTAAAAGCAAAAGTAAATTAAAATGCATATTCCCAGCCTTACCAATAACCTGGTTGCAAGAAATGTATGATCGGCTTAAATCTTTCGAAGGATCTTTTCCGTATCCCATCTTCCTTTTTTCTCCAGCTTCACTCCAATTTCAAATTTACTGCTACCTGAAAATGAAAATCACTAATAAACTTCATTTAAAAAAATAACGTCAAACGTACAGTTTTGAATCCTCAGATGAACCAAACAGTTTTTTCATTTTACACTACTTGCTAAAAATCACAAAACGTTATCCTATCAATTAAGATTTCTCGCTTTCGTAATAAGCACCTTCAAGGCAATATTTAATGTAACACTTTAAAAACTAACTGATTTATTCAACTGCTAGTTTCTCCAACTCTGCCATAATAATGTTCGTTAAACACTCGAAATATTCTTGAGAAAATTACGGAAAAACAAAATATTTTCTTACTCTCCTACTGCATCTCACTCAATATCATTCACAGAAGCTATAAAAAAAACCAAAATATCTTACCTCTTTCATACAGGAATAAAGAATGGCAAGCTTTTAAAGTCTTAACTTTCTCAACTTTCTAAAGAAAAAAATCTCAACTTTCTAAAGTACAAATCGAAAACAATTAAAGTTCGGTACGTTCAGTCAATAGGATAAGATAAACTTATTCGCCTTACAAGCGCAAACAACGACGTTAAGAGAGTAAAGTTTATCTTTTCCTCTTTACAAAAAAAAATATAATTTTTGTTTTTTCAAAACAAATCATCTATGCAAATAAAATGATCAAAAAAATGAGGAAAGAGCAGACAATTTGCATCAATGACTTGGCAAACTTCTCTTATATGGCGTAGTCATGTATTCTACTTTGTTAAATACGAGAAAAAAAACAAAATGTTTCAATCTGCTGAAAAGATTAAATTAGAGAAAATATTTGCAAAATTAAATATAGAGCTTTCAAACGTAGTATAAATGTTGTGACAATAATAGTCTGCTGATCCTTTTTAAAATTAATCAAATCACTTCTTTCTTCATGTGCGATAAATTTCAAATTTAATCGTCCTGTCATTTACTACATTAATAGATTATATCACAAATCAAAGTCTTAGCTTATTCTAATCCCAGGAAATTTTTTTTTCCAAAATTGCTTTCAAATTTCACATGGATTTAATAGCACAATTTAGAGTTTGCCTAATAGTTACAATATGCATTCTTAATAATTTATAAAAATTCTATCCATCGATAAAAAAATGGTACGAGCTCAGTGGTAATATCAATCTAAAAATTGAACTCAATTTTCGTAAAAAAGATTAAATATAGATCGATAACAAATGCGATGTAACGCACTGAAAATCAAAAATTAAAAATCTTAACACAAATGATATAAAAGTATTTATTAACAAAGACAAAATATAAATAAAAGAATAAACAACTGATGATGATTATACTAATCTCATTCAAAATATTTCAGAACATGAAAAACGTATAAAAACAGGAATTTGTTTAAACAAAGTATTATAAATACTAATGCAATAAGATATTGGAACGTGAAGAATATTGGTGAAGTAAGGATTATGAATATGCTGGCATATGAAAGTCGAGAGTGAACAAATAAACTAAAACAACTATCTGCATATTTTTTTCTCCGCTCTAGGTTAATGAGTTCCTAAGTGGAAGTAAGTGAATTAAAACATTTTTATGGCAGCTTAAATATTTCAGTGTTAACCATTCGTATTCTTTTCGCAAGGGAACTGTTCAACACACGAAATAAAAGAAAGACATTTGATAAGTCAGGCCACTGATATGTGTATTTCTTCATTAAAGATGAAAAAAAAAATCAGTCAAAATAAGCTTTTAATGGCAAGAATGCATCATGTTGCATGTTCTCTCGCAGATAAAGTTGTGTCTCGTAGGAATTACCGTGTTCTGACCTGCGAACAAACTGTAAAAATAAATTATTAAATTTGGTTTAATATTAAATTAAATCAAAGCTTATAATTTTATTTTTATGAAAATTCTTCAATTCTGTCTGTCCATCCCTTCTTCCTGGACCATAAAACTCAAAGAATCATTGGTATATTAAAAATCTCAAAGCATTGTAATCAAGTATTATTCGGGCAAAGAATGGGCAACTGAGATCAACTGGGCAACAGGCAACAGAGCTGAATCAATGAATAAAAGAATTGCGTAGGTCAAGTTACAACCTTTCCTATGATCATAGCGACCAGAGCTCCACGTTAAAAGCTGATCGTCCGATAAACTTTTTTATGTTTGACAATTGTGCGGATGTTTGATGAAAATTTTTACCAGGAGAATTAAAGATTTGTTAAAACGAGCTACTTAGTGAATAGAAAAAATGAGAATTTTATCAAGCTTTAAAAGATATGAATGGTATTAGAAGCAGTGGCTTACCAGAAGCTTGAAGGTCGAATCAATTGGAAATTTCCTTCTGAAATAATCAATAGCCTCAATTGTCAATTTTACTCGAAAAGCGCCTAAAAAAATAGGAAAAATTGATGAAATGTAAAAGATGAATTAAATAAATGAAATAAATTTATTAATTAATTGGGAATGAAAAAATCTGGATCTAAACATTTCGAATAAAAAAGCTTTCAAAGGATCCGATCTGATGAGCTCAGCACGATGCAGGAGTGCGAACGATTTAACATTATCAAAGTTTTCGAAACAAGCTAAAATAATATACCAAATACTGGACGACGAAGATCTTATGGTACCCAAACATGGCATCCGGAAATCAAATCTGAAACAACAAATGACTTACCAAAAATAGAGCAATGAATTGCAGCCATCGGCAGCTGGGCATGTTGTTGAAGCATTGGCGCTACTTCTCTCCTTGAAATTATAAGATATCCACCAAAGTCAACTAAAAACACATGACATGTGTTCTCCACCGAAGATTCCAGCAGAGCTCGATAAAACTGACCATTTTTCAGAACCATACACGGCTCACCTTCTTCAACCTAAAATAGCGCTATGAAAAAGATAACCAAATGCTAAAAAATCAACCACTTCTTTGATAAAGATTACAACATTAATAAAAAACTATTACAAAAAATTCAAGCCATTCAAAACTTTATCAAGATTGTAGATCAAATGGAGCACCCTGACGATAAACATCTTAAATTTCTTGGTTAGAGTCAAGAACGATAAACATCGTAAATTTCTTGGTTAGAGTCAAGATAATACCCAGGATGTAAACAAGCAATCAGTAAAGTAAGCATTCGAAAGTTTTCATGAACTTAGGTATCTTTTCTTGATAATAGTAGAATTTATTGTTTTGAAAACTTGACCTTTCGACCGACAAGAGATTCGTAGCTTTGCTCAGCTATATCTCGTTCCAATAAACCATATTTCCTTTGTTCATTTACAAATGCTATGTAAAAGTCACGCTGGGATTCGACCCATGTCATCTAAAACTTTAATAAATGATTTTCGAGTAAATATCATTTTTTCAAATAAAATTTGATTTTCGAAGCGAAAGCAAATAAAAAATATAATTAATGAAGACAGGAAGACAGCGTAAACAGAGATAAGGAATTACTTCAAAATATAAAAGATTCAGACTGTATCCAGAAGCGTACACACTGTATTACTTCTTAAATTCTCTGAAGTTTATAATATTCCTATACATACCTTACTGTTTACCAACTGTTTGGAAGGTGGTGCTTTATGTGATATGAGATCACTTCTTTTCGCATATATACTACTGCAATAAAATTTTCAAAAACTTTTTAAAATTTCGCTTTTATCACACTAATAAAATTCTTTACTCCTTCTAAAAAGACGATACATTCACTCTTTTTAAAAAAGCTTGCATTAATGAAGCCTATATTATGCAAGTAAAAGAATATAGGAAAGAAGGAATAAGTAGCGAATGAAGGGTTAATTCAAAAAATGGTTCGAATTGTATTTAGTACCAATATCAAAGTTGGCGTTCCATTCCTAAAATTCCATTCCATTCAAATCAAAGATAAAAAATTTTGACAAAAATTTGAATTATTTTATCAAAATATTAAATGATGTCCACAAATAAGCCTGAATTCAATGATAACCAAAATACAAACCTTGGATCTGGTTTTATCACTGACATTTTTCGACGAAAACCGCGATTATTTGTCGTGTTGTTAACTGGAACCAAGTTAAAATGGGAATTTTATGCTGACTTAAGCAAATTATAGAACAATATGCTTATGATATATAAATTTATGAATCTTTTCAAAACTGCAACCTCTAATTTCCACATATTTCAGGGCTTTGAGTTTGATTGAATTGTAGTGTACTGATAAAAATGAATAAAAACATAGAGGACTATCAATACAGAACCTTTACAACATTGCAGAATCTCTTAATTACTCAGTGTTATCGATTTCTCAGAAAATTTAAAAAAAGACTGGAAGTTAGGAAGACTTACACTGTCTTTGTTCTAAGTCATCCTCATCATCGGAACTATCGCACGAAAGATCAGGCGACGGTACCACCCTTTAAAATTAATAAAACTGAACAACTAGTTTTTCATAAGATCAAAAGACATCAAAAAATAAGCGAATTTGAAAATGGATAACACCGAAGTGATATTTTGATATAAAATATAAAGAGGAAGTATATTATATTTTGAGCAGACAAGAATAAGTAAATTCAAGAAATAGAAGTCATAAAACGATAAGATGACTTTGAGTACAGCTAAAACTAACATTGCAAGGTGTCTTTGCTTTTCCAAAGGTTCGAAAGTTTTTAAAACGTTATCCATTGAATATATTGTCTTCTGTTCTCCATTGGATATATTACCTGCTTTATTTAGTAAAAAGTTTTCTGAAACCAATTTGCAAAAGTATTAATGGAAATTGAAAAATCATTCCTAAAACTACACTAGTTAGCAATCAAATAAGTAAACAATGGTTCCAGAAAAAGTAATTCTAATAAAATTCAGAAATCAAATGAAAAATTCTTTTTCTGCAGAGTATTTGTTTCTTCCTCGTTATTACAAAGTTTAAATGCATTTCAAGACCGCAATTATTTCTGCATAATTAAACATATGTAAGGTGGAACTATAAGAAGAATCCCTTTACTGCTAAATTAATGCCTTCTGATGAGAGTTGCTTGAACCAAAAATATTTCTGAAAAAAGCAAAAGTGCTGTCCAAAGTTATTAAAATAACAGTGAATAATAGCTGCTCAAGAATAGAGATCACCTGAATTATTCCGAACATTCGAGAAACGCGAACTGTTTTCACATCCACCAACATGATCTACTAAGCGTTGGATAATGGAACGACCATTAAACATCTCATTAACAAAGTGCTGTCCGTCATACACATTGGTATCTTCATCATAGGAATTCTTTAGCCGATACAACTGCTCACCTGAACAACTGATCTTTAGACATGATCGATTCTTTTTTTGAAGGCATGAAATACATGACCCCGTGTTCTCAAAAATTGATAGTTTCCAATCAAAATATGAGAGATTCCGATAAATTCAAAAAAAATCTGATATAAATTCTGACATTAAGTGAAATAATATAATATTTGTAGATCTTGCATTCATTTTTTTTTAAACAATGATTACTTCATTACCCATCAGGAATGCAAAACTTTTCGGAAAATATAAAGTAGTAGCAACTTGAAGTACTATTTTATTCAAAAGCTGTAAAACTAAGATTGTCTTCATCAAAAAGTGAGAATCATTATATCATTTCTCATTCAGAATTCTTAAAACAATATGTACTGATTCTAACCATGCATCAGAAATTATTTACCTTCACTGCCTATCATTTTTGCTTTCTCCTGAGATTTCTCCTGAAAATATTGAGATATAATGAAGGATTAATGCAATTTAAAGCCATTAGATCGCTTTTCAAATTTTTTATCATTACTATTATGAAAAAAATTAATAAAAACTGAACAAGTTTTATAATTTAAAAATAAATAAATATAGAAAAATTCAAGCTTTCATTTGCATATGCTTTTTTCATTTTCAGATAAATGGAATACCAATCATTTTTTGACTATTTTTTGATTTCATTTCATTTTACTAAATGAATTTGACTTTTTCTTTACACATGTTCGCCATTCTGAGCACAACGAAAAAAGAAACTGCTCGAAAAAAGCACCAAGAAATATATAACGTAGAGAGAAGTGAAATGAGTTAGTTTAAGCACCTTAATATACATAATTCTTTATCAGATGATAGTTGACGAACAGATAATTTTCAGATTCTGATATATTTTATTTTAGGAGAAACAATACTTGCCTTCGATTCTTCAGCAGGAGACAAGGCAGCGTAGGTTAAAGTATGCGAAGAAACAGTGGAACTGTAAAAATTGTTGCAATCAATTTTTCAGATAGATTTAGATCAAAAATCTGAAGAATATAAAAAGTAACATTGCTTGTTCTCAACAAATTGCATATCTCCAAAGTAAAAAACCTTAAATTTCCAGATTTTAAATTTCATTTAACGACAATATCTTCTCCACCATCACTAGATCATCATTTAAAAAACAGAGAATTTGAATTTATAAGTGAATTTCCAGATAGACTCAAGTTTTTTTAATTATTCAAAACTAACTTTGCAGACGATCCCGGAAGACATGACCGATATCTGTTATTGTGCGTTTCAAGATGATTTTCTGAGAATTAAAAAAACGGCTTCAGCAATTCACAACACTTGTTCAAATTTACTTATTATCTCTATTATATAAAAGTTAACAAAATTAATAATTCCAACAAAATATACCTGAAATTTGTGATGCATGCGACTTTTTCTTGGGTATTCTGTAAAAACTTTTGTTAAGCATAAATTTTTTGAAAACAGTGATTTTTTTCGAATATAGCAATTAGTTATTCCTGAATTTTCCCAGTGATGATAAGTAACAAAAAATGAATAAAGTGTGCCCAGAATATTTATATGCTGACTTTTTAGAAAGGGTTTGAAATACAGTAGTCAAAATATGTCAGCTAATTCATTTATGAATTAGCTGCAGATAAATACTCATTTTACTTATGCAATCTGCAAAAAAATTTTGGAAAATGGAATTAATTTTGTTATCAAAACTTCAATCTCACCTGGTATTGTCATATCTGGATGGGTTTGGAAATTGTGTCCATTCTTCGCCTGAAATTCATAACAGCTAAATCAGATTATTCAGATCAGTTCTACTCATTAAGGTAGTTATCTTCATCTACTTTCGAACAGCTTATCGTAAATAAAGTTATATACAATCATATCGTTTCAATTTTTTCACGCTTAAGTTATTGATGTCTTTAAACGACAGCAGAAATATGATATCTTTTTTTAAAAGATCTAATTTGGTGCAGAAAGTTTGATGCAGAATCTTTCCCATTTACAACACCTGAGTAGATTCCAAGTATAATAAAATATCAATTCCGAAAGCAGGCTAACAAAACATTTGCAACTGTTGGTTACCAGAACCACAACAACAAAACGCTCAAAAGTTAGTCTAATCAGAAAACAATTAAATGGAATGTTTTAAAGGCTAACAAAGTCAGTCATTAGGGAAATCCGTAATGTGTAAGAAAATTTGTTACGCAGAATCACCAAAGGCAGAAAACTTACTTGTGTTGCTTCCGGAAGTTATGAAAGTCTGCGAACTATTGTATATAGAATTTGCATTGCTGTCGTGAATCCTGCAGTATCCATTATATACTGTTCAAAATGTGAAAAACACAAACCTTCATTTACCATGACAATATTCTGTATCCTTACTTCAGCTAATAAAAAAGTGTCCCAGTTCGTTTTGCTCAATTATGTGGAGAGATGATAACTGAATTATCTTACCACTATTTTAAACTAAACTAATAATTTCGTTAAAATATTGTTAACCCAAGGGATAAAAAAATTGATTTCAAATTTAGAAAATAAAAACAAATTTTTAACTTACCGACTACCGCTGTCATTGCTGCCGAAGGCTAGCGAAAGCGAACAGTTTCTCTGAAGAAAGAAAGCGCTATCATAAAATTAAGAACGTCAGAATAATCCAAAATTTTTTTTAATTTCTTAATGATTTTCATTTTTAACCGAACTTATCGTCAAACCCAAAAATAAGCCTAAAAAAATTTCTTTTCTCATCTGGCACAAATGTATGATTTTTTTCAAAATGATAAAAACTTCGAATTTTATTCAAAAAAGTTAAGAAGCGCCTGTATTTTAATCCTACTGTTATTAAAAAATGTGTTGCAAAATATACCACTGATTGCAGTGGGAAATTTTTGTCGCTAGAAGAATTATTTGTGCTTTTAATGGTATGTTGAGTGAGTTTCCACGTTGCTCGTTGTATTGGCTCACTCGAAGCAATTTGTGGTAAGTTTTCAACTAAATGAAATGGTTTTTCATTTCTTTTATATTTCCATAACGATTATTGAAAATGTTGTTATCGGTAATGAAAATGCAGAAAACAGAATCATTACATTCTTTAAAACGATTTCATTCATATGTTAAATATGACTGGAATCGTTTCAAACGATTCTAAAAGCATATTAGGAAGGGCTTATTTTCAACAGAACTATTTAGAAATTTGATCCTACAGTATAACTCACACGCACTATTTCTATTATACATATGATCTTTCAAAATTCACTTTGCACTGCTATAATTTTCTTTCAAACTTGACTTTTTTATTGAATCGTCTAGTAGCAACAGGTATTTTCTACTGAATGATTCACTCTCGTTGTGTGCATAAATGAAAGCTTCCTTTCATCAATAACACATAGTTCTAGTCTTTGAAGAACTATTTTCAATATGATCTTCCATCAATATCACTCTTAAATTTAGATTACTATTCAAATTATTTCAGAGCTAGTTTCTTTAAATATTAAAACAACTCAATTTATGATATTTCGAATATCTCACTATCAAATGGATTCGAAGGCAATTCCACCACCGTCAGTTCTGCTTTCGCGAATTCTAAAAATAATGCTTCTGAGTTTATCACTGAGAAATAAAAAATTCACGATAATGAAAATGGTTATTAATAATAAAATTTATCAATCACATCTTTCTTTCGATATCAAATTGAGTGAACAGAAAATAATTAACCGTTGTAGGATAACTATATGGTAATCATCAAAAATCGAGTCTTCATGTTCTGAGAAGCTTTTTAATTCTCGTGTGGCTAATTAAGAGATTGGCCATACAAGAATTAAAATATTAGAATACCTTTGATAGCATCAATTGTTCCTTGCAGCGATAGTCGAAACTTATGATAACGTGTTTTCAACACATTCCTTGCCTGCATTTCCCTCATACAGTCATCTGATAACTGTAAGACAACCCAAAATTGAATCACGCTTTAAATGACTGAGCAAGCAACTTATCAATATGTGAGATTTCTAAATTCATTTCATAAAACCTTTCGAAATTAAAAAGCAACATTTTTTCTCCTCTCCTTATTTCTCCTTAACATAATTCATTTTCAAACAGAAAAATTAAGTTTAAGTCTTACAGCATAATTCAATTCCGAAACTATTTCACGCCAAAGATTCTCAATCTCCCTTCGTATATCACTTACATCATCCATTGCTTGATGTATAGAGAGAATACTGCGAATTACACTTTTCACGTTTTCAAATTCAAATCAACCATAACATCCGGATTTAACGTTTCCATTATGTAATGAGCATTTAATACCATCGATCAAATTCTCTGTGATGGCAACTACAAGATCTTACTTATTGGAAAGAATTTAGAATTTAATAAGTAATGAATACAGAACATGTGACCTAACATGACCCAATAAACAAATGTAACTGTCTGTAATCAAAAATGAAATTCCACAAAAATTATCAAATGGCCGTTAAAGATCGATATGAAACCGCGTAAAAAGTGGTTACCATAGGTGGGAGGGATGAGGGTGTTGTGGGTCATCGGGTCAGCTGTCCTCCGGGGAGAGGAGGTAGAGCGGGATAAGGGCGAGTAGTTGGACAGTTAATGATTAGCGTATTCAAGCTATGGAGGATTGCTATTTGTTAAGCATTTGTTTTGTTTATGAATTATATGCTGATAGTGCAATTTTAAATCAGTTAAAAATTCTTTCCTTCTCGTCAGATTTCTTTCGTGTATACTTGCCGCAAAATTCATTTAGAGTGAAATGTGGAAGGACTGAGAATTGTTGCAGTATCCTTCGTATACGAATAATTATCGTTTCTTGTCACTTTAATATAGAATTGCAACACATTTCGTTATCCCATCTCGTTTTGTCTGTTTTACTTCATGTATAAGCTCAATAAAAGGGTTAAAGTTGATAATTGGCAAATGACATTTTAAGCTTTTTAGCTAAATGGTCAATATTGTTTGTGAGAGATAAATTCAATTCAAACCGCTTAATGCAGTTAACCGATATGCGTATATTTATGAAGATAACAAGAGTGATAGCTCGGATTAGAGGCATTTAAATTAGGCGTTTGCATTTGAGATACGTATTTATGCGTATGAATTGCTACTGTACTGGATAATTCATTATCCTTAGTAATGTTTGTAGTGGAAGTGGAAGATTCTTAATGAAAGTAAACGAAGAGTATACTTGGTGAAGTTATGAAAGAAGGAAATTTATGAAGAAATATCTAGAAACTTCAGTTCAAAACATCTTTTAGGTTATTCCTACAAACAAGCATGTCGTTTCATTCACTGTTTTCTTAATCTAAATAACACAGTAGTAGTTTGGTTTCGTCACTTTTAGTAATTCAAATTATCTGCGAATGGAAAATGGAGAAATAATTAATTGCTTGTTACTTCGAATAAAATGGTTGTTAAGATTTCCAAGCATTATGTGATTACGAGCAAGTGCGTGTTTACAGCTATTGTGGATGGAAGCAAAGACCAAACTCAGAGTGAATTATCATCCTAACCTTCATCTTCATCTCTCTGCTTGTCCTTTTAATTTTATTTCGATCACTTTCGATGTTTCTCTAGAGACTGCATATAGAGTTTATGTTCAGGTAAAATTCGACCTCCTCTTCCTGCCCTCTCAACACGACTTTATTTTATCCCTATTTTCTCTTACTTTCTCCCTCCGTCAAGCCTCTGTTTTCATCACTGTATCTAGTGAAAGTACAATTTGTTGCTGCTAAATGTTGTTGAACAATCGATCTAGGAGATTATAGATTCAATTTACAGTAGAGGTTCCTCCTTTTTGTCAGTAATGATTTTTTGCTCGACATAGCTTACGAAGATGTAAGACATAGTGGCCTTGATCTAAGTCATTATAAGGCATGCTACAGTGCAACATTACTATTATAAAACATCCTTTCGCAACAAACTACTATTACTTTATGGCCAAGCAAAAAGTGGCAGTAAGCCCGATTTCAGAAAAAGCTGAAAAGATTGCTGGTGCATGTGTTTCACTCATATTTGGTTTTTCGGGATTGTTTATTTTTTTCGATTAATTTTATAATACTTGGTGGAAATGATTGCTTAGTATATTGTATTATTTTATAGCAATAATTATATTATTTTTAAGACAGTAATTGTTGTAAATTATTGTTTGTTTCTAAAACAGTGATTTCGAAAAAGTTTGTGAAACAATTTTTAATTTGTTCTTGCTTTTGAAGTAGTGTTCATTGATAAATGTTTGTTCTAATATCGCAAATTTTTTTCAGAATTCGATTTTTTTCCGGGACATTAAATTTATTGATTACAGCAATGCTCGGTGATGTTCAAAGTTTGGAAGAAACTAAAAAGCTAACTGATAAAGATTTCACTTTCGAGAAGCAACAGGAACGTCTTTTAATGAATAAACTTGCAACAAACGGCAAATTACCAGTGAAACCACAGAGTGCTTTTCTGCAGAAGAAATTACAGCAGCAAAGAGTGTGTTTTTTATTTAAAATAAGGTTTTCAAAGAATATTAGGAAAGAGCCAGGGTTAGTTATTGGTGTTTTTCTGGAATTTAACTGCATTCCTCATTTTCTCATTTCGTTTGCCCTGTTTGTAATGGTGATAAATTTCATTGTTCATTCAAACAGAAAAAGATGCCTGATAGTATCAGAATATTATTGTGACCAAATGTTAGAGTGATATTGAGTTAATACCTTTGAGTTAGCACCACAAAAGCATTAGCATTGTTTTTTCCACCTTATTGACTTTGGTTTTTTCTTTTAGAAATTTTTTGATTCTGGTGACTATGCAATGAATAAACAAAAAACGAATAATACATCAGCGAACTTGTCATCTCCCAATTTACAGAACATTGTGCATAGAACTGCTTCAGGTTCTTCATTTACGCAGGTATCTTTTGTGAAAGTTTATTTTAGAAAATCGAAATGGATGTTTGTCTGGAATCCTCATGATAGTTGGTTTGCAAATTGCGTAGCTTTTCTCACAAATGAGAGGAAACTTTCATTTCCGTTCAATTTAGACATAGTCTAACTTTCGAGTTATTGATAAAATAAGTAGTAAGCACCGTATGCGTTACGAGAAAGGCTTTATTCAGAGTCGTCTTATGTCGAAGTTTTTTTGCGTGCAAATCACTTAAATGTTACTTATTAAGCTGTGAACTGTCAATATAATCTAAATTTAGTAAAAAAATTGTAGTCATTCCATGAAATTCTACCTTGTTTTGTTTAAATTAACGCTTTGTTAAGTTCGTTTCATCGTTTCTTTTTTGTGTATTTCAGGAAGAAGTGGATATACCACTTAAAATTGATATTTCACCGACAATAAGGGATGAATCATTACTAATTCCTCGCCCAGACACGGTTCCACAGCGTAAATCGTCGATCATTTATCCATCTGTACATAGTAAATTAAGCCCACAACCATATGTTCATCACTCAACGCACGATAGCGATCCTCTTCCAGGACCCTAAAAGTTTTTCATGATATCACTTGTGTTACAAATGTTAACATATTTGCTTCTCTATTTTCTCGCCCAGCTATGTTTTACGCTACGAAACAGCATTCTTGTATGGGAGTTTGAGGTCTTTCAAGGTATTTTTTTTATTATTTAGAAATGATTTCAGATCTCAACATTGCGCAAACCTCTGGAGACCGTGAGGTTCTGAACAAAGTGCAAAGGAAGTTACTATAGGATTCATTTACCTTTTGGATATTATCAAAATTAGTTTTGAACTCACCTGAAGCCCCAAAAATTCAGATTTTTGACATTTCACTTCGTATTGTTTATTAATTGCCATATTTATCGTAAAAATTTGAAGCATGCATATGTTTTGTATGTCGGTGTTTTCACCGTTCTTTCGTAGGCTTTTCTTCGTTTATGCATTATTTTTTACTTTGTACGAAAATCATTTAGTTGTCATCCGTTGTCATATAATTTGTTACTTTGCGAAAGAGTAAAAATCAGTATAAAATTTATAAGCAAAGAATCTTAACTATTAGAATTTGGTGTGGTCTCACAGAAAAAGCATGATATTAGTATTGAACTAGTCGAATTTTAGAATGCTTTCACAAGTTTTGGTCATTATTCAGAATGAGATTTCGATAGTTTGCGCTCTATAGATCCAAATACTCACTGACATCGTAGATCATGCTCTTCCGCTTAGATAAAGAGAATTCATTAGAAAATACCAATCTGTCTTAGTTTATAATGTCGTTGCCACAGTGGCACTCATATATTTTTTCCAACATTCTTATTCCTATATTACCATGTGCCATTTATTAATGCTACTGTAAATGGTTCTTTTTTCGTAATTAAGCAGTGAAACGGATTTTTATCCCTTAAATCTCTGACATTTAATAAAACAGTGAAGCCAGGAAGCTTATCGCTAGCTGATGAAGTAACCATATTTTATCCTGAATGATGACATCACCAGTGTTACGGAGATTATACCCACTATTAGGACATTAGTCACAAATCAACATCATTTAGAGCTATCAAAAAGTTCGGCTGTGGTACCACAAAAACGGGTGCTATTTTTATAATCATATCGTGCAAAACCCTTGCATTCTCTTTACAATATTTTATTTGGCAGTGCTTTTAATTATGTAATATTAAATAGCAAATGTTAATTAAATCTCAGGAGTTTACTCAGAAATCATCTCTGGGTAGTGGCAATTCCAAAACTCTCCAACTTGGAAATATAACTCCTCACCAACATGAGAGAATAAAAATCCACAAACAAAATTAAAAAAGATTCTTAATTATAGCAGCCGGTTTAACTTCATACAGTTCATTTCGAGACTGATATGATTATCTCTTTAAGCATGCCAAACTCAACAAACAACATCTAAATTATCTTCTTGAAGCAGACTAGCGATCGACATTTTTCAATTGTTTATTTAGAAAAACGACCTGACCTTCAAAATAAATTAATTGCAAGTTAGTATTCATAATTAAGTAGATTAAAAACAATACATTGAAAGGTAAACTCTGATATCACTTAGTGCTCTATTCCGAATTCATGTAATACTAAAGAAAGGCCTCTCGTTAAATAGTACTCTCAAAATAACGACTAGAAATCAATATTCATGACTGCGAATCTTCATAGAAAATTATATTGCTTCTCAAATTTGACTAAGAAATGAATTTCTTCCTGAAATAGTATTAATCAGAAGGCCAATATTATTATACTAGTGAAAAAAAAACAGTATTTTATGCTGAACAAGAAAAATTCTACGTGCTTGCACTGGAGCTACCAATTTTTAGAACATGCAAAGAAGCAAGCTTCCAGGCATTGACAATTTCCGTGATAGTTCGACAATTAACAGCCATATTTAAGCGTTTATCAAATTGTGTATTGATATCAACTAAGCTAACACCACCATACGACCATCGATCACGCCATATGGATGCTCTGGATTCCGGATAGTTCAAAGGTACCACTAGTCGCAGTGGCGGTACCAGCAGCTGAAAGTCGATAAGAAATGGAAATCCAAAATAGAGAACTACGAGCTAAAAACCCAAAGTACTGAAATGTGAAGATTTTTTTAGCAGTTAAGCAATAAGATCAACTAATGATTCTATTAACAAAAATATCAATGAAGTCACTGGTCAGAGTTGAAACCTTTAAAAAAGATAAACCTACAATATCGTTTTCAATAAATACTTGGACTTCTGTACAATCATCTGATATTGGTATAAATTCAGGATCAAACCTAAAACCGTATTTTTATTAGGCGATCAAATAGTTTTCGAACTATATTCATATTCAAATATCTTACTCTGAAATGGAATAATAAATGTACATGCGATGCGTATCACTAAATATTCATAAGTATTGCCTATAATTGTACGGTCGAAGTTGATCCGATGCTTCTTGCGATAATTCTAACCGTGAACCATCCTGGCATATCACCGCTATGCGTTCTAAAATATAATAAATTAATAATTTACAATTAGTAATTCACTAAAAGTTTATAAACCTCAACCTCCATTTGATTTTCCATCAAGAAGACTTAGTTCTCACAAATCAGTTCATCAATACAAAACACTGTTAATTATGATCGCTCATAAATGAACAAAATAGACATACCATCAGAATCATTCTCTCTTTTGATTCGTTTTACTAGTATTAACTCTTCCTTACTCGTTTTTTCTTCCTTAACCAAGTTCATTACCTTTTCCGGAACTCTGGAATTTTAGAAGAAATAAAGTATTTCAATAAATTTCATCATAACTGCAAATCTATAGCTAGTAAACAAAAAAAATGACGGAGAAGGCAAAAAAACCGTCAGCATTATGAATATGCCAAATAATATTCAATGCAACTGTTTTTTAAAAAAATGACTGCTTTCAACATAAGCACTGGAAATTTAAGTTGCTCAAATCCAATTAACCAATTGGTGAGATAAAAAAAATTCAACAGGTTTACTTTATAGCATATTGATGGAAGTCACCCCAAGGATCCGGAAGTGATGTCTTCGTAGCGTCGCCGCTCTCTAAACGTAAGGCATCGATCAACGGGAAACAAAGTGAATCACGTTCGATTAAATTTCTTACACTAACAACCAACTTTTCCAGAAGTTTTAATTCTACTTTCCTGCAAAGCTGAACTTTTGAACAAAAGGGAACAAATACATTAAACAAAGAATAAGAGTAACTATACACAGACTTAAATTTTTTATTGAGCATATGATAGATTAAATACAAATTTGGAGATTTAGAAATTACGATATAATAGTTTTTCGTAACACATCAATGATATTAATTTAAGTGATATTAAATTATAATTTTTACCGTCTGTTTTCCATTATTTCAAGAAGGCGCTCAAACTTTGACTTTGGTGCTTGTCCATCCAAACTATAAGCAAAAGAATCCATCAAATATACCTTGTGTATTGAAATAATGACCAAACTACTATTCTAATGATTATCCCTTGACTCAATTTTATTTGAAATTAATCCTTTTATGACATTAAAATAGTAAACGGCCGGTGCATTCTTGGACTTGCTCAATTTTTCTTTATAATACAAAATTCAAATTTTAGAAATTAGAAATAAAATTACCGATTTCTTTCGAGCAGCCTTTTGATATGTTCATGATAAGGTTTCAGTAATTCTAGCTTCTGGCTGTAAAGTGGTTCATCTGAGCTTTTGTCACCTTCACTACCTGTTGTGCTGTGTGTCGAAGCTGTGCTTTCTAAAAATCTCTTCCGTTTGACCTCGCAAAAAAAAACTTTTTATGTCCATGTTAAGATATTTTTCAGAATTTCTTGAAAATTAGAGAATTTTATTACCAGGATGATACTGTGTATAAATTGCGGGTGGAACACTGCTTGGGCCTCTATGATGCAGCGAAGAAGTCTGCTGCACAGTTGGTCCTACAGATGACGGCTGAGTAAGAGTAATTTGCTGTTGTGAGTTATAATTTTGAACATTTCCGGGATCTTGAGATTGATATTGTACATTTTGAGGACCGCTTATACCACTTGCCATGTAATGATTGGGCATGCGTCTAAACTTTCAATTTATGCAAACTCGAAATCAAAACTGCCTCAGAATTCTTTATTCAATATTAAAGTAAGTAGAGCAAGCGATTTGAATTCAAATTTAAGTTTTTCCCTTCAATTATGAATCTTTAACATTGTATGTCACCAATCATTGAATGATCCTACATTGAATTTCTTATCCATCAATACTTCTACTAAAACTTACTGCACAGACACTTGTGTTGGTCCCATTTGTCCCATACCTGTTTGCAAAGAAACACTTTGTGCTGGATATGGTACTGGACCGCCTTGTACAGTTCCCATGCGCACCATTTGTGTATTTCCTTTAAAAAAAATTGATCACTAGACAAGTAAACTTCAAGTTTGTTACTCAATGAATCATTTCCAACTTCCTTCGAATTTGTTTAAAATTAACCTCATCTTGAAATTTCTATTTAAATTTATTAAAGCAACAAACCTTGAGACATACCAACTTGCTGATTCAGTCCAACACTAATCATCATCCCACCAGTATTCATCGTACTTTGCCCTGGATATTGTTGAGTTAACTACAAATACGAATAACAATGAGAAAATCCAATCCATCATTAGAAATAAAATAAGATAGCTTTCTAAATATAATTAATAAGTGAAATCAAAATAATTTCTTGGAAACTTTTGCAACCTTATCCGAGAATCTATCACAACTTATGATTCTCAAAATGAATGAGGAAGGGTGCCCTGCGCTTCTTATTACGTTTTTAAGATATCAGGTAATAAAAAAATATATGATGCAGCATTAATCTTTTTTACTCACTCATCAAATTCATTTAAAGGTTATATAATTAAGTTTAATTTCAAAAACTAATTGATAAAGATGAACTCTGACTCGAACACGACCCTGTATAAATCCTAGAGCAACTTGTCGTTTTTTTTCAGCATTTGTTTCTGCATTAATTTGTTGCTGAGCCATCTGTTGTACTTCGGGTGGTAAGCGCGACAACGCATCGCTCATTGTCCTAAATGAACATCGGATAAGATCAAATCACTTTGCAATTTCCAGATCTATCGGTTTTGAAGAAATAGCTCGACTACACTTGTTTAGAATAAAAGTAATACAGTAGCCTTGGCTGCATTTGTGGATTCTGTACGTACTGTCCAGATGTGATTTGTACTGGTTGCTGACCGGGTTGCATCATCGCCATACCATATCTGCAAATTGCATCAATCTATAGTCAAGTTAAATTAAAGATCTCAATTCCCAGAAAAAGTAGGATTTTTACAGAGTAGCAAAACATTCGTCTGCTTGCTTATACTTCATTAATTCATTAGAGAACAGTGATAAAATAATGCCAAATTGGTAAGTTTTTTGATAATCGTAGAAAAAAATAATTCGATGGTAACATTTACAAGTGTTTTTGTATGGAAATCAGAAGGGGTGCTAAACAATCATTGGTAATTTTTTTTTCTTAAACAAACTTGGATGAGCAGTAAGAAAATTAATGCAAGGAAATACCGATTTTGATGGATTTTTTTTACTGCTACGTTAGAATAACTTCGAAATATTTCAAATTTAAGCGAAATTTCGGAAGAAAAATCAATGATAGTAAGAAAAATTAGCAACATTTACCTTTGCTGCCGATGCAGATGTTGCGGTGTTACTGTTGTTGGCACAGAAATCTACAAACCATAAAAATTCGCTAAATTATAAAATGGTAACCTGTTTAAATTTAATTTCTTTTATCTACTCTTTTTACTATCCCACTGAAACAGAGGGTTGAATGAATCAAAATGGATAATTTAACAAATGACAGAATGGGCTTAACAAATCACTAACAAAAACGAAGAAAACAGAAAAAAATATGTACCAACAAATAAATAAGCATGAATCTTAAAAACAAAAACTGTAGTTTGTGATCTAAGATGTCAACTAATAAGAGCGGTATATCTTTATAAATTAATTAAACTAAATAAGATATACTAGATTTGATCTCTTTATTCTCATTCACTATTTGCTAACCTTACCACAAGGTGAGATCAATGTGTAAAATTTCAAACATAAAAAAAAAGCAAACCATTCGAGGATTCTGCATTCGTTGTCCATGTTGCATTATAAATTGCTGTTGATCGACGTAATTCATACTAAAATTCAATTTCTTTTATACGCGAACTATTTTCATGAAACATACAAAATCTCCCTTAGACAGCAGACCAAACCACTAAAACAATGCATACCTTAACTTATCGCAGACCCTTAGCTAATAAAATTGATCATTTGCAATTCGGACTCAAACCAGTTCGAAGTAGGCGGGGAGGCGGGATGAGATATTTCGATATCGAGTATTGTTCTACCGTTTTCGGTACTCTCTGTATGCTCTGAGAGTTATGTAAAGCGGTCTGCAGTAGCGCTTCTTTCGATTTGCATATAAGCCGATTTGCATATATTTTCTTTCCTTAACATCATTTATCACGACAATTCTCCTTATTTCATTTGTTCATAAATAATGATTCGAAAATTTTTGCTGAAAGGAAGCATAAGTCGGAAATCAAATTAGAATTTTTGATAATGATAACTGATACATTTTTAGGCAAAAAAAGAGAATGACAAGGAACCAATCAAATTGTGACGCTTTCCAAAAGGTTAGTTGCCGTAAGCAATTCCTTTCTTTTTTCCTATTTTCAAATATAATAATCTTGATTTCACGTGATAGGTTCACTTTTATTAATTTGTTATTAAACTTAGCACTCTTTGATTAGCAAAGAAATTGGATCAGCCATAGACAACGTAGTGTCTAATCAATTGGATAATTTTGATTTAAAGCCTTATAAAGAAGACATGATTGTATGGTAATAGTATTATTTTATCTTTATTCATTATTTTCTCTTCCATTTGAAACTTGAATTTATCAGTTTTTATTCGATACAATAGCAGCTAGCTGGTTTCGAATTTCTCTTTTCACGAATAGTATTTTTACTTTTCTTTTTTCGGTTATTTGTAAAATTAAAATAAAGTTTATGAAATGACAGGAAATGATTCCGTTTGGCAAATTTAGTATACTGCATGATAAAAACAATGTTACTTTAATTTCAGCTGGATGCGTCAAAAATTCGTAATGCGTGTATAATTGCTCACGTGGATCATGGCAAAACGTGTCTTGCCGATTGTCTTATCTCATCGAATGGGTTAATTTCGGCTAGAATGGCTGGTAAATTACGTTATATGGATAATCGCGAGGTAGGTTTCTTTTATTTCATCATTTTCAGAATTTTATGAGAAATAAAATATTATATAGCTATCGACCATTCAATGAGTTGGAGTATTGTATTTTGTAAAACAATTTTTGGAATAGAATTCCAGTATTTAGATTCTGAAATCATATCCAGAGCATTATTTAGGATTTATATAATCCCTTGAATATAACTTGTGGATTTCCCTATATATTTCTTTAAAGTATTCAGGATGAACAAATCCGTGGAATAACGATGAAAGCTTCAGCAGTCACTCTTATATATAACGATAATATTATAAATTTGATTGATAGTCCTGGACATGTTGATTTTTCCGATGAAGTTTCCTCAGTGTTACTGTTATCAGACATAGCTTTTTTGGTGATCGATGTGGTTTGTCGGACATTTTCGTTCTCTTTAAATTTTGAGTTTTTTTTGTAATTGATAAATTCTACTGTTTTCAACTTTCATCCAGCGGACGTGAAAATTCATGTTATGGAATGTTTTGCATTTACTCAAAAACATCCGACGGTAGAGAGCTTGAAATAAGCATAATGTGCCTGTTTACCACGCTTACTAAAAGTTTAGCCGATTGAACTTTATCTCCTTTGACTGGTTTCAATGCTGCGCTTTAAAATAATTAAATTATTAGTGGAAAAATTGGATAAAATTTAATACTCAAGCTTTCCTTTTATATTTCCTTTCAATTTTGTAAATCGCTTCTTTTAGGTTGAAGGACTTTGCTCACAAACCGAATTTCTTCTTCGGCAAGCGATCCAGCTAAATTTGGAAATAATCCTTGTTTTCAACAAAATCGATCGATTAGCTGTAGAAATAAAACAAACTCCTGCTAAAGCTTTTGCCCACATACGATGTTTACTGGAACAGGTAAGCTTTGCCAATGCTGCATTCTCAGTGAGATTGCATTTTTTTCAGAGTAATGAAATTTGAGCATAGCAAAAATTTGTAAACCTGAGAAATATCCTAAGTTATTGTTTTAAAATTTTTCGGAAGATTAAAATAAGGAATGCATAAAAATTAGGATCAGGTTTGAATTATTTTCAGGTCAACAGTTGTATCAGTCAGATCATTTCTGGTGTTTTGGTGGAACAAGAAGATTGGCACAGTGTTGAACGTGCTGAGAAAGGCTTGTATTTCTCACCAGAAAATGAAAATGTTATTTTTGCTTCAGCTTTGCATGGTTTGTTGTATGCATTGTCTTCATTTTTTCATTTAAAAGAAATTGAAAAAGAAAAATCGAGCTTTTAATTTCACTTAAAACTGCATATAAATTTCTTGTGTTTTTTTCCAGGTTATGGATTTTGCTTATCAGATTTTGTAAGGATTTGGTCCAAGAAAATTAGCATACCAGAAAAGGACATATTATCAAAACTTTTTACGGATTCATATTTTTCAAAAGGCATGATCAAAGAAGGAGCAGAATGTCTAGGAAAGAAGACTTTATTTGAGCAGTTTATTTTGCAGCCGTTGTGGGATGTTCATAAATCCGGCCTTATGGATGAAGATCTGCAGAAACTGAAGGTTTATTTTTATTTTTTGTTCTTAATTGATTTTCTTCTTTTAATAGTTGTGGTATGATTTCACATTGAAAAACTATCATTTAATGGTAATGCAAAGATCGAAAGCACGTGCAGTTTTTTACTTGATTTTTAGACATTTGCTGATAAAATGAATGTTAAAATTCGAAGCAGACGGCCAATAGAAGCATTCGATGAATTTATGCGTGGCTGGCTTCCTCTGACGACAGCCTGTTTCCGAGCTGCTGTCTTTTCATCGCCTTCATGCCAGTCCTTTGCACATCCTTGTCGCTTAGCATCGCTCTCCGTAAGCGAAAATCATCCTCTTTTTGAAGCTGTCAAAGCATGCGACAGTTTGGCTGCCACTGTTGTTTTTGTTGCTAAAATACTGCAATATGGAGAAAGTATATTAGCAATGTGTCGTATACTTTCTGGAAGTGTCCGAAAAGAAGATCAACTGTTTTTAATTAATAATAACCATTCAAATGGAACTATGCTCGAAAGGTATGCATTTCATCTTCACATTTTGTATTTTTTTCGTGATAATCAATACTATTGGTTATAGCATTTTATTGCATTCGTGGATCAGGTCTGAATGCTAATTTCAAAGAAGTTCTGCCTTGAGCAGTATTTATTTGCCTTTCACTCCTTACTCATTAAGCATCGTTAAACTTTCTCTGGATAGCATAGTTTGATAAAACATGACGAAAATCTTTCAATGTTTTTAGCTTTTGTTAATTTGTTTCATTTGAAAAAAAATTTCAGGCCATTGGTAACTATTTCTGGAGTTTACTTACTTATGGGTCGCGAAAAAATTGCAGTTAATCGTGTTGTCGCAGGTGTGGTGTGTGCAATCGAATTTTCAAGTGAAATATTAGCAACAACTCTTTGTAGCGAAGCAGTTTCAGAAGGATTAGTTCGCGTTACGCATGGTGCGAAACCGTTGGTTCGCGTGTCAGTACAACCAGAAGGTGGCTTAGATGAACTAAAAAGTTTACGAACTGCTCTGAAGCAACTTAGTATTTTAGATTCAAATATACGAGTTATCGAGCAGGAAAATGGTGAACTAGCTATGTTTGCTGCAGGTATCATTTTGCTAAGTAGTCGCGAACTTCATTTCTATCAGTAATACATTTCAAGACTTCTGTAAATTTTATGGTCAGCGAGATTCATTGTTTCGTGATCTTTCATTATTTAAGTTTTTTTAATAAACCCTACATCCGAAACATTTATTAATAGATTTTCAGAATCTTTTATTGCTTTCACTCAACTCATTATTTTTCCATATATTTTCAGGAGAAGTTCATCTTCAGAAATGTCTTACTGATTTATATGATATGGGACAGAGAAATATAAAAGTGTCGGAACCATCAGTACCTTTCTTCGAAACTATAATTTCCATACCTGGTATATCCAGCAGTTCAATGCAGCCTATTGTGAGCACATACTTTATTTATTTCGAAATAACGAAATTTTCAAAATATTCTAACTGCAGTTCTTTTAATGAAATTGTATATTAAATTACTTTCATCAATAATTTAATCACAATTTTATTAAGTTGTTTGGAGACATCTAATTTTTGAATTATTCTTAGGCTTCTTACATCTAATGGCATATAGTGCTAAGCATCAAAACCACTAATAGGATGGAATTAATATGAATAATATTTAGATGGTTTACGCTGTGTTATTTTAGGAATGTAACATTCGTAGCGGTTTGGCTAAAATAAAATTACGTGCAGCAGCATTGCCTCGAGAACTTATCAACATTTTGGAGAAAAATGAAAATATCTTACGTGACTTACGACAAGGAAAATTTACTCCAGGTGTAGAGAATTTGCATAAAATTTTGCTGGATAATTGCGCGAATTGGTTGAAAGATTTAAAAGGAAGTTTTTGGTCAAGACAGCGAACCGAGCAACTTAGGTACACGTTTCGAATTATTGACTGATTTTTGGATATATATTGAATTTTTTTGATAAGATTAATGAGGTGTCTATTATTAAAAACTAGGACTGGCAGGTCGTATATTTCTGAATGGCTTATGAAACAAGATATGAAGTTCCTGAGGGAGGAATAATTTTATCTGTTAAAATTTTTTATTTATTAGCCTGGATCATTGCACTTTTGTCAATTAAAATCCCATGGATATTTATTCACGATTGATTTAAAACATCATGGTACAGTTTGCTTGTGTTGAGAATTCCATTTAACTTTCTCTTTTTAAATTCAATTTAAACTTTTTTATTTAATTTTTTTAGGCATTTTATCAATAGGATATGGACATTTGGACCACCAAGAGCTAGGTTTAACATACTGTTCAATGCAACGGATGATTATGATAGACCATCCATATGGGAAAGTAAGTTTTTCTCAATTTCATAAATTCCTTTAGCCGTTCCAATTTTTTCATACTATTTGAGCTTTATTTTCTTTGTAATTTATTGATAGTCAGTGATGTTATAATTTACAAGGCATTGCAAGGTATTAAGGTTAATGAGAGGTTTTTTTTCCTTCTTTTTCTTAATTTATTTACCTTCTGATAAAAGTTTTTTAATTGTTGCATGTGACCGATATTTTATAAGAGAGCTAATTTAGAGAAGTGATTTCTTATATTTTACCAGTTTCAATTTCTCTTCCAGAAAGTACTTCCAAGTTACGATACTTTGATCAATCGATAATAACCGGTTTTGACTTGGCAGTAGGAGCTGGTCCATTATGTGAAGAACCAATGTGGGGTACTGCTATAATTGTTGATGAATGGACAGTAAAGGAAGTTGATGATCCAACAGTGGCTGGTGCCTTAATATCTGGAATGAAGCAAGCATGCAGGTCAGTCTTTGAAAATTTTTTTCAAATATTATTTGTTTTTATTGATGGGTATAAGTGTTGAAAAAATTTTGGAAGTCTGGAAGACTTTTCAATTTTCAATTGATAGAAGCTAATTTAAGTTGCAATTTAAAATCTTTCGATGATATCGTTGACTTTAAAGTTAAGTATGCTTAACTTCTAGGACCTCTACGACATAGAAACCTAAGTGGCGTTATGTGTTTCTTACTGATCTAAAAGTGATTTTGTTTAAGAGACTTTTGCACTTTTTTTGGGAACTTTTTTAATAGACAAAATTTTGTTTTTAAATTTACTGTAATCGTCGATATGTTATGTGGAACATTCTTCATTTCCACTTAATTTACTATTTCAGAGAAGCACAAAAAAGGCATCCACTTCGACTTATGGCTGCAATGTATAAATGTATTGTGCAAACAAATACTCAAGCGTTAGGCAAAGTGCATACAGTTCTTTCTCAAAGGCGAGCGAAAGTATGTTTTAAGTAATAACAGTATTGATTTTTCATGTAATAGTTTTTTGAAATCTCTCCAAGGCAAAATTACGGTTCCGAATAATTTCATTATCTTTCAGATACTAAATGAAGATATGAATCAAGCGAGTGGGTTATTTGTTGTTGAGGCGCATTTACCAGTTATTGAAAGCTTCTCATTTTGTGAACAGCTAAGGAAGAAAACAAGTGGTCTTTCATCGGGTCAGCTGGAATTTTCACACTGGGAAATAATTGATGAAGATCCGTTTTGGGAACCTACTACTGCAGATGAGGTTTAAAAATTTTTGACATTTTATAATTTTTTAAATCTCAAATATCTTTTGCTGAACTTAACGTTCTGAATTGAAAGTCAATTTTTGGATTAAATTAAATTTTTTGAAAAAAATAAAGGATTTTGTTAATGAGTCAAATGTTCAAACACAAAATATCTGATAATTCATTGAGTTATTGCTTCTTAGGTTGAGTTGTATGGTGTCAAAGGCGATGCCATAAATCGAGCTCGTGTTTACATGGATGCAGTAAGAAAACGAAAAGGCTTATTAACCGATGAACTAATTGTAATTAACGCTGAGAAACAACGTACCTTGAAAAGGAATCGTTGAGTATTCTTTCTTAGAAATAAGAAATCGATAAATATCAGTTCAGTAACAATTTTGCGAATTTGTTTTCAGGTTGAATATTATGATATTAAAGATTCTTTTTAATCCTTTTAAAATTATTCGCTTTGTATAAAAAATTGTTTTTCTGTCTAAATGTTTGAGTGTTAGGATTGGCTAAGAAAAGTTGAATGAATAATAAAGTAAAAACGAATTCATAAAGTATTAGTAAATATGAAAAATATTTTGCATCTGTATCTACATTACCTCATTTTTTGATAGAATGTAAATATTTTTATGTGCAAATGTCTTTCCTAATCTGAATTTCAACTGGCGAATAACAAAGCAAGCATCCGATATAAATACTTTTGTATTACTTTCTGTATGTGGTACACCATATAAGTACTTGCATCGGATATTTTTCGAAATTACTATCAGACTTCTTCCCTTTTACTTCAATTTTAGAAATTTTCGAGTTTTCTCAAGAAATATAAATAAAACAGTCAAAGCAGTTAGTGATTTTTAAACTCTATTTCAAAAATGAATATTTCCGTAAAATACCGTTTTTATCAATAAAGCTGACAAATTTTAAAATATTTCAAAATTGGAAAGTTAGTGCAGAATTACCTTGTAAGGCATTATTTCAACTGCCCATTTAAAATTACTTTAGAAAAAGGATCAGCGTATTGAGAAATATTTGAATTGCAAGAATATTTAGATGAGGAAATAAAAAAATTATAAAATATCCATTGATTTCCTTTAAGATTTAAATCTTTAATTTTGGATTTAAGTAAGATATTGAATTTTTTTTCAGTTTGAATGAAGAAAGTGCTAGGAATTCTTACAATTGTTTCTATGAATGAAACGAAGGCAAGCAATAATACCGAAGATAAGTAATATTCGATCATGGATAGATCATCACCCACTAATTGGTAATGTTATACTTCACTTTGTCTTTTCTAGCGATAATGTTACAAATCTGATAGCTTCATTGTTAACTTCCTGAAAGAGATGTGATGTTCATTTATTGGTGAGTAACTTAATTGATCAGAAAAAGCTGCCAAGAGGCATTTGAAATCAAGCGGTCCAATATTAACGGCAAATCAATGTTAATATGTAAATTTGCTTCTAATTAAGGAACTTCACACCATTTATAGATTCAAGATATATGCTATAAAATAAAAAAATTGTGACAGTGGATCATTGTGAAGAATAAATATGTAAAAATTGCTTTCTTTTGGTACATATCATTCATTCTTTCATTCATCTCTCATAAATGTAACACTTGAATTTAAAGCGGTTACGTAATCATTCTTAATGGCATATTTTGGAATTGAGGTTACAGAAATAAAAATTATTTCAATTCTTAATTTTTAATAGAATACGTTGAGTGATAATTTCGAGACAAGTCTTACGGTCGTGTTCAATAGTTTTACAGGAATAATCGATGCAAATCTTGAATTGCCAAAGATAATTTTATTATTGTTAGTATTATTGCAATATTTCATTTATTTACAATTAATAATGTTAAAAAGAGCAAAATAAAGAAATTTATGAAAATATCTAACCGGGATGAGAAAAATTCCAACTGAGAGTGAATTTAAATTTGAGTAATTTGTGAAATGTAACTAATTTAAAAAATAATTAGCATAATTGCAATTACATATTTTGAAGAGTTCCACTGAAAATTGCTAGTTTGTGAATCCATAAAGGATAGAAAAACTAGAATATCAAGCCTTAAAACTTCGATGTTCATTCTTTATAGGTGAAATCATACGGCCGTGTATACCAATCTCTAAGCTACCCGGACAAATGGCACTGCAAATATTTTTCATATACATACATACACAAATACAAATTAAAGCTATTGAATGGCTAATGAAGTTGTATTTTCAGATTTTGAAAATACATCTTTAAATTTGAAACCCTACCTCTGAAGTTTTCTCGGACGAGAATGAAATCTAATTGAGAATAATATAAAAGTTTTTGCGTGAAATTTCTCGCAGACTTTATGGGATTAAAAAAATATAATTCGCTTATCTGCCAAATGTCCAAAAAAAAGTAAAAAATAGAATTTGGAAATTCTTAGAGAATCAGTGGAAAGATATCGCAATCTGAAAATCATTCTCCATATGTTTAAATTTATGAATAAAGCATAGATGAAATTATACACATAATGTACAAAATTATTTAACATTTCAAAATTTAATGAATGTAATGTTTGCAATTTTTGTAACAATTGCTGGATGCATTCGAAATAATGATATCAAGTGTAAAATTACTAAATTTTTTATTTGGATGAAAATCTTTGATAAATTTTAGCAATTAAATGCTAATAGTAAATTTGCCACATTGAATTCTGTTATTTGTTAGATTAAAAATATCAATTACTATGTTGGATTAAATGCATGTAATGCTGTGATCGTTGAAATATGCGCTTTACGCTTATGATTTTTCTTTCTTCGCCAGCAGATATATGCACTAATTAAGATTATATTAAAACCTATACAAAGCACAGAAGCAATAATTATCAGAGCTATCACCCAGATTGGAGCTAACCTGCTAGTGAATATATCGACAGCTTTTGATGATGATGATGATGATGATGATGATGGTGATGATGTATTTGTTGATTCGATACCATTAAGAGTAAAATTCTGAAATTTAATTTGCTTTAGAGTTTATTTATTGTTGACTTTCCAAAATAATACTCATACATAGTTCATTCATTCATTTGCTATTTCAATAATTTTACATTGGAATTATTATTTGAATAAAAAGAAAAGAGTTTTTTTTTTTTTTTTTAAAAAGAAACTAAGCTAATTCTTTTGCAATTAAGTTTATTCGTTTATCGGTTTATTCGCCTATTTGTTTATCCATCATATATTCGAATTAATGAACCAGTCCAGAAATTGAATTTTCTTTGCAGCAGTAGTAATAAATAAAACGTTAAGTGAATCTTCACGTAAGGCCCTTTATGTTACATGAATCACATATGAGTGGCTCACTCAATTAACTTGCTAGTTTATTTTATCTTTTCTTTATATTTTTTTGTTGCCTGCATTATTTGTTGGTTTTGCAAGTTTGTTTTATTTTAAATAAAATAAAAGCAATACGTGGTTGGTGCTTACTTATTGAATTTTGAATTACGCAAAAATACATCTAACAAGAAAAAAAGTGCGTAACAAACTAAATAAATCATAGTGATAGGAATTATTTCAGTAATTTCAAAAATTTCTAAATTTTAAATTTAAAGATTAAACAAATTACAAATGGCATCCACTTTTTCATAATTTTTGCTAAAATTTCAGGATGAGATATATTCTAACAAAAATTTTCAAATGCCATTTCTAAGTTTTTCTTTTTTTTTTCAGCTAATTGCTATTGCAATTTTCAGATTATTTTTCTAATTCATTTCTTCGAATTATTGTAAAATAAAAGTTTAATTTTTTTATTGCTTAATTTTCCCTAAAATGCATACATTTCTAAATGATCAAAAATTTTCTCTAACTATTGACAGATATTTTAGTTTGTCTTCTTACTTAGTAAGGTAAAGTATGAAAGATAAACAAGAAATGAAGAAAACAGTGTAGTAAATTTTAAAGCATTTCAAGAAATAATAGAATAAGTCTTTTGGTTAATTGATGGATATGCTGATATTAATGTATCCATTCTTAATGGATACATTAATACCTTTCCGATCATTTCATTGCTTGATCTTTCCATACATCAAAAGACTCTTTCTACTTCATCACCCCTTAAAATTAACTAAATTTAATGGCACCTATCCATCCTTTAGACTACTGCAAACAATAATTACCACCACCAACACCGCCAACACTACCGCCAACATCAACTCACCATCATCATTGCATTCGCTCTAAAGTCAATTTTTTCGCTCCTTACAATACGATAATTATAGGTGTAATTTTATGCAAATTTATACCTTTCAATGTGAATAATATAATATGAATAATGTACCAATGCTGTTATATCAGCCAACTAATCTTCCATTTTCCTATCCTTACTTGAATATTTATTTAGAAAATTCAATGATGATATAATTAATGGTAACAATGATCATATGATAATTATAATAATAATAGAATAACAATAATAATAATAACACTAACTGCGGTAAATATGATAAATATAAACTATAATCATGTTCAAAATTTATTTATAAATTTGCTCTGAGTTACAATTTTTAATGCTATCAAAAGATTTAGTATCAACGTGAAAATTAAAGAATTGTCAGAAAAAAAAAGTTTCTAAATGAAGAATGAAAAATTTTTTAAACTATAGAAAATTAACTGACCTGTATAGCTCGAGTAATTTTAACTGAGACACCTTCAGAGAGCTCAGTGGTACTGTCAACGAAGCATTCGCCATGACATTTAATTAATAAACAATTTTCTTGTATCATCTGCTTCTCAACTACTCCGATAAATGTTACTCCTTGACAATCTGAAACGATAAAATCGTCGAGTTCAATTGTAACTTTTAATTTTTTTTCATTCATCTTTGATTCTTTTTTTTTTTGAATACTTTGGTAACATATCAAATATGGTCAAATATAGAATTTCAATATCAACTATTTAATTATTTTCATTTCAGTCCTACAAAATATCTTAATTATAACTAGTAAAATTAGTAAGTTTAATTTGATCAAAGAAATCAAAAAGTTAAATGGAATAATAAATTATGAAGCAGATAATGAAGTTGGCTTAGCATTAACCATATTTAACTTATCAGATGATTTCTTCAAAAACAAAAACTTTAGACTATTTATTATTTATAATAGTGATGTAGTATAGAGTGGACTTTGATTTATATAAATTCATTAATTATGGTCGAAACAAAGCTTTATGCATCGTTAGATACTTATTCTCGTATTGCAAAGTGTACATTACATATTTCTGTTATTCAACTTAGCTTCATCAAAATAAATAAAAAAAATTTTTTTGAAAAAAATTTATATAGTTGCTGATAATTGCGAAAAGATCATATCTATTAGAATTGTTAAATTCTTTTTACAGCAAATAAATGCATGTTTAAATAATAAACAAAATTTTTTTCTCTCATTATCATTGTTATTATTAATCATTTTCCATCGCATTTTTTTCTCTTTCCAATAAAACTTTTATATTCATATCATTTATTTTAATTTATTAGAAATTATGATTTTTAAAATTTATTTTTCTCTAACAGTGATTGCTTCGTTTGATTAAACAAATGCGCACTTATATAAATTTTTAACAAATAAATCTTCCGCTCTAAAAGATCATCTCTCCTTCATCATTTTTACATATAAATTTAATTAAAATTCTTTCAAAACAGATCAAACTGTAAAGGATGAAACCGGATTCAAAAAAAAAGAGAAGGAAATAGGAAAGAAGAATAAGAGAAAAGAAAGGGAAAGATTTTAAGAAATGTAAATTTTCATTCTTCTTTCTATTTTAAAATTCTTTTTTATTTGCCATGCAAACAACAAATAAAACAAAACAAAAAAATAGCATTAATTTAATAATTCAATGGAAAGAGAAAACTGACTGTTCGAAGTTGCTAAATTGAAATTTGTTCACGAAATTTGATTCATAAATTCTTATTCGAAAAGTCGAGAAAGTGTTTATATATGTATGAATGAAATGAATCCAATTAAAATTAGAATTAAGTGAAATTGAGAACTGGATAGAATTATAATACAATCAATGGGTTAAGTTTAATCAAAATTAAAATTAAGATATTTTTTAGCTTTTTACTTCAAAAATTGATCCGTGCTAATAAGAAATGCAAAATTTGTCTAATTTTAATATAAGCTACTAATTAGAATTTAATTATAAATAACATATTTCATCACTAAGTTAAATTTATAAAGTGCAGTGATGAACAATTCTGAAAATAAAATTTCAATTTTTAATAATTCTATGAAATCTTTGAAATGAATAAAGAAAAAATGTAAGCAATTGATTTAGTGAATCATTCCTATGAATAGATTTTTTTTCTTTTTCCACTTTTTTTAAAATGAAATCACAAAGCAAAAATGGAATAAATGCCTTTTTAAAGTATTTGAAGCAAAAGTTATAATTAGAATTATTTAAATATTTTTGTTTAGCATTTGAATATTTCAATAAATCAATTCTTCCTATTTTCGATATGTCAAAAGTTTGATAATCTTGGTTTCGTAATATATTCCACAACATTTATTTCACATTTATCGCTGAAAATATCGCAATTCAAGGTCATTCGTTGCTCTTCAGTTAAGATATCCTGATAAGAACGATGGATTGAGGACGATGATAAGGATTATTAAAGAAGTTTGATAATGAGATAAGAAGTGACCGAATCTATTATCTTATGTTTTCAATTGTTGATTAAAAATAATTTCATATTGGTGTATATCATTGTTTCAGTCCTAATAATAGTTTAAATAAAATAGAAAATCTTCGTGAGCTTCATTACAATTTTCGAGTAATTGACTGATTAATTCAAAGAGTTCAACAAAACTGCAAGTCTTTTTCCTTGCAACTTAACTTAGTTAATTTTTATCATAAAATTTAAGCATAAATATAAGACCCAGCTGAATTGTTGCAAAGTATTCATACTATTTTTAACAATTCGTTTTTAAACCATTGGTTTGTGGTAAATTAAATGAACTGCGATACCTTAAATTAAGTTGAATTAAATCGAATTAACTGTACAAATTTCCGCTTTTTTGTTTGATTTTTATGCAAAAAGATGAAGTGAAAAATTCATTTTGCTAAAAAATGAAAATATATAAAAATCATACTAACACGCATATATTTCAACTTAATAAATTATTCTTTTTATTTTTTGCTTGTTTATTAAATAACTTTTGAAATTTGTTTCGTTTTATTGTTGAATTTTACGAAACAATTATTAACCTAAAACTGAATCTTTTACTTTTCAATCTATTTATAAGATTTTACTCAAATCCCGCGAATTGCACCTCTCGTACATTTCTGCTTTGATTTCTTTCACCATTAACTTTTTTTTCATTTTGCACTATTTTTCAATTTTTTCTCAAAAACTAATGAAGTATGAGTAAAAGGTACCAAGTATATTAAAAACTCATTTTAGAAAAAAATGTGAGATTGGAAAAAAATATATTTGAAAATCAGAAATACTGAAAAAGGAAAAAGAAAATGATTATAAATTAAGTGGAAATTATATTTTATGATTATATCAATAAAAAAAAATTAATGGAAATGAAAAGGCTAACATATCACTTTAAAAAAGTTTTCATGCATTCAAAAATAGAAGCCAAATAAGTTGAATGAAAAATGAAATGGAAAAGAAATATGATTGCTTTCTTTTTTCCAAATAAGATACTCGTTTTTGTATTAAACTAAATCCTAAGAAAAAGTCATCATC